ATATATATATATATATGTATATATATATATATATATGTGTGTGTGTGTGTGTGTGTGTGTGTGTATGTATATATATATATATGTATATGCATGTATGTATATACATATATACATATATATATATATATACATACATACATATACATATATATATACATATATATATATATATACATACATATATATACATATATATATATACACATATATATAAATACATATATATATATATATATATATATATATATAACCTCTTTACTGTGCTATTTTATGGTATTGTTCCAAGGCATGTCCTATTCATTACTACCTTGGGGTTAGTTCTTCTTTATACACATAATAGCATATTTATTATACCATTGTTTGTTCTTTCTAAATGTACACTATTTTAGTTTTTCTTATATCATAATTTTCATGCTTGAAATTATTGGTATTGATTTCAAGAATTGTTGGTACTAATGATGGAAATGTCATTCTGTTTGACTTAGATCTTGCTCATCCTGCTGCTAATGTATTTTTTATTGTCAATAGCTATTATAGTGTTTAATGAGTTGAGCACTATTTTGACAGTCGATGGCTCTTATTTAAGGCTTTACCAACTTCAAGAAATATTCTGTTATCCGAATGCTTATTATTTAATGTGTTGGCAGTTAATTTTTTAACTGAGCTGCACACGTTTTACTTGGTCTGTTATGTGGTTTGCATTTCTATCTCTTGAGTGTAATGTTGCGTTGAGACAGAACATTCTTTTCAAAATGACAGTGACCACCCACATGATTATTCAAAACAATGATGTAAAAACTTAACTAACATGTTGGGGTTCACAAATTCTGTTTTAGTGCTTATCTCCAGAACTTCTAATTGTGTTTTTTTGCCATTAATATCACGTTGACTTCTATTCGTTAATTAAAGTAGGAAGTTCATATATAAACTTTTTTTTAATCCCTTGTCCTTTCTTATCTCATAAAAATTAGTGAATAATAAGCTTACCTCAAGACAGCACAGTAAAGAGATATTCCAGATGATCATGATGATTTAGGTTGCTTTGTGTCCTGCAAAGAATTTGCTTAGGAAGCTTAATTGGAGGAAGAATGAAGTGGAAGGCTATAATGGAGTCTACAAGTCACACTCCTTCCAGAGAGATTCTTCAAGATGTTGGTTGCAATTTAAGCTGGATGTTGAAAGCGATTTGTTGTTCTGCATCCTGCTCAGCAAGAGAGAGGGAGGCGAGGGGATAAGGGGAAAGGTGGTGAAGGCGGAGGAGGAGGTGAGGTGAGGTGCCAGTCCCATCTGTTTGTTGAAATTAAATGTCTGGTTAAATCTATGCCATTTTCTGTACATTTGTAAACATACATATTCTATTTGGATGTTCTCTGGACTATACTCAGGCGTCCAGCTACTCTACAGGAACAGATTAGGGATCGTGATGACAAGGACTTCCCCGATAGTGACTTTGATGTGGCAGCACTGGCTATAATAATTTGAGCCAGGCATTTCGATGTGATTTACAGTAACGACGGCATTGAAGAGGTAAACATAAGAATTTTCTTGAAATGGTTTTTATTCTTAAATACTGCTCTAGCATCTTTTGTTTACTGTTAAGTTGAATCTTTTCTTTGAAATCAGAGTGTCCACATTTACATTTGGTTTTAGTTGATGCTTCCGGATTGTGTCATGCGTTGCCTTGTGCGTCGCATTCTGCATCTCACTAATGGCACTCCTGAACCATGATTAACATATGCACAATAGCAAGCACGGCAGTCCCTGTAGCCTTTTATGTGTTTCTCTCTGACCCGTAAACCAAATATTAGATTGTTGATGTTCACACATGTTCTAGCATGATGAGCGCTTGTCAAATAATTTTCGAGTCTAGTTTGGCATGTGTATACTGGAGCTGCTATCTTGGAGTAAGATGTATGCTTCCCTAAGCCAATGTATGTTAGGTAATACTAAACACATAAGTTGCTTCTCACCATTGCCACAATAGTCTAATGGTAAAGACGTTCTCTCTCAACGAGTTATGCAATCTGGGTTCATTGACTGTGTTATTTCACTAATGTTTTTGTCTGCTGGATGCAGGCTCGAGGATCTCTTGAACGAGGATACGATGAGGTATGATACCACGATACGTTTATTTTGGCGATTGCTCTTTCATCCTTCGAGTTCCAGTTAGATATTGAGAAGTGACTTCCACCGCAGGTCTACTTGGAGGATGGATCCGCAGAAGTTATTTCGTCTTTACATCTGGGGGATGCCCACGACAGGTATCGTGTGAATACACTGGTTTGCTTTTGAAAATGGTTGAGGGGCCAATGATCGTTTAACTGATGAGGTAGTCGTGGGTGGAAATAATGATACGAAAGACGTTCACTTTTTAAAATATCTATATACGTAGGTGGGAACAGAGGAAGGGGTCAAATTTATCCTGATGGTAGCAAAAGTAATAATACAATCTATAATACTATATCGGCAAGTATAGTAAGCAAAATAATACGTAAAGACAGAGGAAGGGGTTAAATTTATCCTGATGGTAGCAAAAGTAACAATACAATCTATAATACTATATCGGCAATGATGGTAGCAAAAGTAACAATACAATCTATAATCCGCAAGTATAGTAAGCAAAATAATACGTAAAGAAAAAAGGGGATATTATACCTCCAGGTCGTGTTTCAAAGGAATCCATCAAGCTTGGTGCAGAAATATTGTTTCAAGATCCATTCCGGGTCCAAGGTTTTTTTGTTCTTCTTGGCATATGTTATTTTGGCACAAGTTTATTTTTGTTCTTAAAAAGAAACCGTTTGAAAAGTTTCAATTGTACGAAATGAATTGCAGTTGGTAAAAAGCACAATTTTTGTTGATCCATGCAATTTCGCCTTATATACAACTTCTTCAATTAACTTAAACTTTTAACTTAGAGAAATTATTCAAGAGAAATTATAGAGTTTTATAGAGTAAGTTCTATTATGAAGGATGTCTCATGCGTAGAAATCTACAGAAAATCCATTATGGAGGAGTTTCCTCCTCATATCTTGCAATGACGAGAGCACTTTACTCTAAATTTTCTTCTTTTCTTTAATTGATTGGTGCCAGTAATACACTCAAAATAAGGGGTAGCTCAGCGATTCATTTCCTCGTTGTAAATCGATAGTAATACACTCAAAATAAGGGGTAAGCTCAGCGATTGGCCTTCAGCTGTCTTAGCCACATCATGCGATTTTTACCGTTGATTCATTTCCTCGTTGCTCCTTTTACTTTGTCAGCTTCACGTCGCCTTACTGTTAGAGATCAGGAACCTCGCTGCAAAGCTCCCTGTCGTGCACCAACAAAGTCTTCTTTTTAATTAAAGGATTCCTGTAGAGACAATTTACAAGTTAAATGGCATTAGGAAGACTTAAACTTCATTTTCAAAACGACAAGTACAGTAAGTTTTCATCCATGTGAAGATTGCTTTCATTTATGGATCGACAGATAAGATGCTACTCATTCATTGTACCAAAATATATTCCTGGTCAATCAATTACCGACAAAAACACAAATGCCAAACAAAGTTATTGAATAGATCTAAAAAATTACCGATAAACACAAATGTCAATCAATTACCGATAAGATCTAAAATGAATGCTACTCATTCATTTTCAAAACATACACTGCACAGTGAAGAACACCAAGACAGACGTAATTTGTATAGATCTAAAAAATTGCCTAACTTCTACAAAAAGTTATTGAATAACATATAAAAAGTTGGCATTGTTTGTTTGTGAGAACTTCAATTAAATGAAACTGAGTTAGAATGTTTTCTGTTAAGAGTTATAATGTTTTAATTCAGAAACATTCTCTAACAGAAAATTAAGGTTACATTAAAAAAATAAGAACTTGTCATCCTTATTTCAAAATATGTCCAAATATTCTTAATTTTCATTCAAGATTACTGAAGAACTCTTAAATAAAATATTTTATAAAACTAATAAATATTATCAGATTAATAATTAGTTTTTTTTATGAAAATTTTAATTAATTAAGATTGAATTATAGTGTTTTTTAATAGACTTACAATTCAATAACGAAAAACACTATATGCACACATGAAACCCTATAACCCTACATACATAATTAAACTAAAAACAATGTAATCCATTTGACTGGATTGATCTATCTGGGTTTTGGTGAACAGCTCAAAAATTAGAATAGTCAACTGTCAATTAGGATATTTTTGTTATATTAAAAAGTAAGGTTTTCCTTTTAAACATTTTGAAAATTAGGAGTGCTATCCAGAAAAAATCCAAAACTTAAAAAGTTCTTCTTATTTAATTGATATGCATATTTGCACAACTTCTATGATTCAATCCACAGAGAGAACAAGAACCATGTGGGTGGGTGCACACACATTCAGTTTCATGCCCATCTCTAACTCTTATAACTAGGCTTCCAGATTTCCCATGCCACAGTAAGGTACTTAAAAAAAGTAATGGCATATCCCATCAAGCCATGCCTTTGTTGGCACATTTTTAGGACGTGCATATTAAATAATGACTCCAAGTGTTGTTGTCATCAATTTCACACAATCGCATTTTATTATAAACAGCGGCATGGCAGCATACCTAAAAATTCACCAATCCCAACTTGATGACAACCACATAAACATGCAGACATAGGACCACTAATACCTATATGGATGAGTTCAAAGTTTTCACATGCATTTAGACAATGCAGGTACAAGAACATCAAATGCAAAATCACATGCACACACCTACATATATTTCATATGCTGATGTTAACAAATTGTTTATGACTATTTCCACTCGTCATTTAATGCTTTTTTTTCTTAAGAAATATGCTGCAGTAAAGTTCCTTTTGTAAAAGTTCCATTACCATTTTAACTAATTCCATTCCTCTTACTCCTAAGTATATTTCCTATATGATGTTACATGATCCAACTCTTCCATGTTTTACAATAAATTGTTGTCGATGGTCACTCACATTTCCTAGTTTGAAAACACATTTAACTTCATCTGCCTAACTCGAAGATAGGCAAATGCTGTCATGTCCAGACGCCAGCCAAGAAAACACACTGTTTCTTACTGGTAAGAGTGACTATATGAATATTACCAAATAAATACAGTCCTGAGCTTGTGTAAATCCCATTAAGTACAGTCTGTTCATGACTTATAGAAGGGAAATCAAGATATAGGATCACGAGAAAATAAAAAGTTTCTTAAAACTAAATTAGGAAAATCCAGAATTATTGTGGTCAGCCCATGGATCATGCACCTTTATGGAAAATAAAAAGTTCATTGGCATGCATACCTAACATATAAAATGTTCATCTGCAATTTTGAGCTCACTTAGGGCATCTCTCCAGCAAAACCAACTTCGTATGCTTGACAGTTGAAATGAACAGAGCTTTCATTGCCAACCACTTTTTCATATTATAAAACAAAAACCTGCAATGTTGCAATTATTTGGAGTCAGCAAATATATTTTCATTAAAAAAATCCAAAAATCAACATGAACCCTTCTTTAAGAGGCCTAATGTGCTAAAATGCAGTTTAAACTTGCAGAATGAATGCAAAACATCATTGTCCTAAAATTCATCAGGTCAGGTTCATGATTTTGTTTGTTTGAAAGGTGAAGCACCACCTTCTTGTTAGGGTGGACAAGGGGGGCTAGACATTTCAGACAAACAAGTACTGTATTGAAAACTAGGAGTAGATTTGCAAAAAGCATCTAAATTGAAGGAATGCGCATCCAATTTCGCTTAATGTTTCTTGAGCCTATCTTCTCCTCACACCACTAATTCTAATCAACTCATCTAATCTGACCCAAGTATCCATTGGTCATGAAAGAATTCATGAACAGAAAATTGGACTTCACATAAAAGACTAATTGTTGTTAATATCTATCTTGGGAAGGGGAAGAAACTGTCACTTTTTTGTGTGTGGGATCTTTTAGCAGCTCATCATCTAGTACATTGAGAATATTAGCAATCTAGTTTCACAAAGACATGAAGTGACTTAGAAAAAGTAGAGTAGAAGTGTCGAACATTACAAAAAGAAGTGGAACATTACTATAAGCAGTTGGATCAAACCCATCAAATACTTCTTGATTGCTGCAACAAATTATATGTGTAATTGGTTCTGCAATGCTGAAAGCCAAACAGGCTATTAGCATGCATATATGTTATTTTCATGTCATTTTGACCTGGTAGAACTTTATATGGTACTATAACTAATTTTTAGTTGGTTCTCTTTAATCCTGTTAACACTTTTTTCCACATTCGATTCTTTCTCAAACATCATCAATACATATCCCTATCAGATGAAAAAGAGAGAAAGTTGCCTTAAGCCAGACAACCAACATTGTCTTGAGCATGAATCTTAACCATTTCAATGGCGAAAAAAAGATTCTTATAACTGAATCCAAATAGTTGGGACATTACCACTCGTAAAAAGTTATTTAAATAGCACAGTAAATTAGCCTAAATTACTGAATTAATCTTCTGCAATAAGGCATGCATTCTCCTAATTGCTCCTTACGTTCATTCTGAAATTGCCCATCTCAACATTACCTAGCCCTCTTAATATTAAAATATGTCCTTACTGCTATAATGCCTCTATAATAATCAACCTCAAATGTTGATTAACTCTTTTTTCACACATCTCACATCCATTCTGAAATTTATGGTACGCACAAGTCTCAGCATTGTCTAACCCTCAATATCAAAATTCATTCTTACTGTTATAAGAATTCTATGGTCACCAACTTCAAATGTCAATTAACTGTGTCCACACTTATCCTAGATTCAGTGCTCCTGTACTCAAGAAAATGTGACAACTTATTCTCACCAAGCCTCCATACCTAAGCTCAAAAGCAAAATTTCAGCATTAAAAGACCATCTAGGCAATGTTATCAAGCACACATCCTAAATCAATTTTGAGCCTTGCCTCAAAAAAGAGTCCAATGATTCAATGAACCATACCTTAGGCATGCACCTAATGAAATCTTTCAAAAGGTGAACCTCTCTAACACTTAGTTCCAACATAATTTAATTCTACCACTTAAATGTGACAATATTTAATTCTACCATTATTGCTCACTACGACCACTATGCAATACAAAAGTTGGTATTAATTTATTTGTGAACAGAGTAAATCCTCGGTTCCTTGCAAAGGATAGAAAAACCAACCAGAGAAGTTTTTCCTTTATTAAAAGAAAAAAAAAG